CTTAGTAATCGACGAAAAATATCTTTTTAATAACCAATTAATGTGTATCTGAAAATTAGAATTACATTAATATGCGCAGATAGAACGATCTGATTTTCTATAAGTTTCGCCGGTATTTAAATCATAATAATATACTTCATCATCGTCATCCGAAAATCCATAGAATCTCCCATCATCAGAGAAATTCTTATCATCTTCGTTGTTATTATCGGAGAATACTCGGCCGAAATTATATTCTTCTTCACCTTTGTAGAAATCCTTGTCATCATCGGGTTCATTTACCTCTTCCTTGGATAAAGATTTGTTATCTTCGCTTGTCTTATCTTCCGAATTAGAGATATGGGACAATGAGACAGAGGGAATGGTAGGAATGCATGTATCCGGTGAAGTTTCTTTATCTGACTTAGTAGGAATACTTACCTCATTATCTGATATATCATTCAAGCTAGAATTGGTCATATTAGAGCGCGAATTTTTTTCACGCAGTGGGAGGTTAGTATCACATTTTTCTGTGAAACAACTTACCCATATATAATTGTATCGATTTGTGTATCAGTTAATTTTGAAAGTTTATTTGCACTATAAGTCTTAATTCGCAAAATCTTATCTTCTCCAATTCCATTAAACAACTTATATATAGGTTTAGTTAGTTGTGTTCTTTTACGCAAATTTACTCGGGAGATAACTAAAAGATAACATAACATTCATCATAAATTTGACTACTCGCTAGCTTATATGCTTTTTGTTTCGTAACATGTGGTTTGATTTGTTTTTCAGGATTTCAGGTAAAATTTTACTATGTCTTTTTCAAAAAATTTTCTATATGAATACCAGCTAGCAATTTCATCTTGTTTAGCTCGCATAGTGTTAAATTCCGCAAAACAGATTCTTTCGAATAGATACACTAATTTGGTTGCAGACGATTGGTCGTGCCAGCTCCGTTGATTATCTGTAGAGTTTTTAGACCCTTCGGATCGCCTCTCTGAGACATCTACATTAACAATTTTAATAGTATCTTCCAATAAAGCTTGTATTCTTAATTCTTCTATCAAAGGCTGTATGTCTATTTCAGGGATTTTTATTTTCTGTAAGTTTGTATTCTGTTCTGAGGACTGTTCAGATAAATTAGGAGTGTTGGGAATAGATTGCGATTCCGGAGTTTGTTCGACATGTGATTCATCATAAGATTTTGACGAGCTATCCGAGGATGAGTTTTGGACTTGGCATGAGCCAGCTTCCATCTTCTTTTCCAGAATTCTTTCTCTAATTTCATTGCTAATCCTTTCTTTATGTTTCTGAATCAAAAATTCTTTAGTCTCCTTTTCGTCTAACGATTCCGGCTCCGTATGGACAGGCTGGTGTTCATCAGAATAAGGATACGCTGGATTGTTGAAGTATTATCGGATACCAGAGTATCATTGCATTGCAAGTCAATTTGTTCAGAGTTATAAACCAAAGGCTGGCTTACGGCAATATTGGGATTTTCTCCGATTCTTCAGTGGAGTTGGCACAGTCAAAATTGTTCTCAGATGATGTGGGCAGTATTTCTTCTGTAGGAGGTACAGTATATCCGGTTCATTAGCAATGTTTTTGTTGTAATTTTCTTTGGGACAGGGGTATTTTATGTCTGTTTTCCTCAATAATGCATTCTAATTTTGCTATCTTGGTTCTAAGCTCTATGATTTCAGCATCTCGTTTAGCATTCCCTTCATTGAAATTAGTATCGCTTAACTTTATATTCTCTGCATTTTCTTTTGCGGATCGTTCTAATTCTACAATTCTAGCTATAAGCAAATCTTTCTCTTTTCTAAGTTTGGGAATCTTGGAATTCTCCTTTCTAAGCTCAGCAATCTCGGCTAAGAGTTTAGCATTTAATTCTCTTAATCAATCAATGGTGTGGATATTTCCATTATTTTTATAAAATATACAGGTACGTATGTTCAATTAATAAAGTCACGTGTGCGTTCTTTTTCGGAACGCTGATCACCTTTGTCAAGAAATACGTACAGTAAGTGAAAAAAATTCCCGTTGATTGTTTTTACCAAGAAAAATACTCGATCATATATACATGTCATCATTATCAATATGTACTGTACATCAGAAAAAAATATTTTTTATTTGTATATAATACAGTTATTGTTGCATACATGTAAAATATAAGGAACTAGCTTCGACTATCTATTTTTTAGAAAATTTTTTAACAATTCTCTCTTGCGCACGATGCTTCTTGCTTTCGGGTTCATCACATGCGGAAACTCTATCTTTTAACAACCCTAAGATTATGCTAATAACCTTTTTTACACCATCTTTCAAAATATCACGATTTCCCTTAAGTGCCGTCTTCGAGAGGTTTATTTGATATTCACTATTACTTGTACAAAAAATCCCTTCCGACGCAATGCCAATCCATGCCTAATGTAATGACCAGAATTAGTATGTGAAAAAATAATTGGGGGAATACGGATACATACCAGTGGAAACTATTCCATATAGACAGTCGTAATCCTCAGCCATAAATGCTTCATCCACAGTTCGTTTCTTCTTGTTCATGTGGAAGGAACTCTCGAGTTGTTTTATATTTTGGAGATAACCAATCTTAACATTTCGTGGTTTACCCTCAGTTATACACAAAAAATCCTCCATCCCTGATGTGGCGTAATCAACTCTACCAGATGCTTCTTCACCCGAAATATCCCTATGCAATTCTATATTGATTTCTTTATCCGTTAACCTCCGTGCGATTGCGATTGATGCGTGTAATATTGATGAAATAAATTCACATCGGGTCGTCTCGTTGGCCTCTATCATTGATTATTTCGTTCATGCATTGTTCGAGGTCTTTGTCGTTGTCATCGATTTCCTCAAAAACTATATAACAGAAAAAGCATTAGCATGTAATCTCACTTTCATATTTAAAATCAAAGTCGAGGATAAAGAATTAACTAAAATCTTACAAATATCATTTTTAGGCGTCAATTAATCTTTCTCGCACTGTCATGTCCATATATTCACTGGGATCTTCTTCAACCTCTTTTGCATAACTATACATTCTCGTATCAGTCTGCATTCTATCATGGAATGCTATGGAATTAAGCTTATTTTTTTCAGTTATGATAACGAATTTATCGGGATCCTCGCCAAGCTCAATAGCTTTTTGACGGAGACGAGCCTCTCGTTGCTCCTGGATTAAATAGCCAGATGGATATGTTTTCGATTGGATGTGGGATTCTTTATTGCTGGATTTTAGTTCGTCGTTCGCAGGTAAGTCGGGTGATATCTCGGGCTCATCATTCACCGATTCGATAATTTCTGGAGATTTAGGTTTATCGTCTATAGGTTCTACATGTTCGATCTCCGGAGTTATAGATGTATCGGTAGACTCGGACGACGAGGCAACTGAAAATTCGGGTTGATCTATTGTCGAATCGTAGAGGTCTATGGTCATGTTAGTGATAGGAGGGCGGATACTTTTTCCTTATCTTTTTCGATTCGATTGGTGGTCGATGACTCTGTTGTATTTTTTTCTGGTTGAGGGGGTGTGATGTCGGGTACATTGAATATGGGTAAATCTGTTGAGTTATTGGTGATGTTTCAGTATAAGGTAAGTCAGCAAATTCTTCGATATCACCTATTGACTCGCGTAATTTAGCTACGATCTTGGATCGGTCAAGAATATAGACCCATTCTCTTTTTCCATTGATTCGTACTTGCTTGCGTTCTATACCAATCGTTGGAGGAGTTTTTCCAAATTTTCTACTAGTGAATGAATTTTCACCATTTCTTTCACACCAAATACGATAATCCTGGTATAAATTCGAACATACGAATTGGTTTCTCGATCCTATTTTTAGGCCAAGATGAAATATGATCAATTATGAATCGAATTGGATTTGCTAGGTGTCCGTCATTGTATCTGTTTTCATTTTAGTAGCAGGAATATCTTGTGGGTTCCAATCTGAGATATCAAGACTGAATAAATAAGCCATAACTACACTAGGCGCGTCGGGATGGTCTAACACTTTGGCTAAATTCTTAAAATATGCCATATTGACTTTACAACGGGGAGATACATCGAAACACACTATACGTCGATCTCCCATTTTTACTCGGAGTGGAGCATCATGATTACTTTATACCATAAATCCAGCATAATCTTTTAGAACTTAGGGTTCAAGTCCTTTGCGCTCGGTTGTTAAGTAATCTTTTGTAATAAGTGATTTGAGATGATCATTATATTTGTGCCAGTCATTCCTGTTTCATTCATAACGATTAATTTGCGAGCCTGAATACAACTATTAAACCTTCCCAATATTTTCCCAAGATCAGAAGTTGCATAGAAAAGTTCAGAACCCAGAATTTGTTTACCTATGAAATCGACTAAGATATTTTTTCCACAGCCTAGTAAGGAACGTAATACTGTAATGGTTCCAGGCTTCTTAGATGGTTGTCGTACTAGATATCCTACCCAATGCCAGAAATATTTACTAAGTTCTTCATCACCACCAGAGATTATATTTTTTGCATGCCATAAAATTGGATCTATTAATATCTCTTGCTGGCTGAGCTTTGAATTCTAGAAAAAGATTAAAGAACTTGATATTTGGTAGTGTGGTATTTGATGATATGGTAGGAAATCGATATTACGATAAAGAATCAGATCTTCAACAACTGCTTAATTTATAAATATTTTTAATTCGATTGATTTCCCTTGATATTCAGCTATTTTATTTCGTACTTAACAATATCTAGTTAAGGTACCATATAGAAGAAAAGTCCATTATCTGAGTCTTCTATTTTAAGTAACCATAATCTCGAAGATGTTTGAATGCATGCAACTGTTGCTTGAATTGCCTCATATACTTCATTACGAGTAAAAATATTCTTAAAGGTACTGTAGCAGGCTGATCGGCGAGTCTGTCGCTAATGACCAAAAGCTCGCGTAACCTGCGGATAGAAGAGTCCGTCCTTCTATCACACACACAAAAATCAAGGCAGAGGCGTAAAAAGATTTGGGCGAGTCTCAAGGTAGTTTTCCCTAAAACTACTTATAACTTCACTGTTATAACAATCTATCCAAAAGATTCCTCTTAATATTCGTCATTTTATTAAATCATTGGAAGAAGTTATATTTATACATTTTTACACATAGAGCTATTACATAATCACTATGGCTATTCTAATATTATGTCATGCATAAATTACTTCGTGGTCAGCTAATTTTCTATTACCTCAGCTCATAGTTTCTTACCCTTTTGACGCGAATGGATTGTTCGTGCATTCTTCTATCTTGTAAGGAGTATAGTGATAATAGGCAATTGATTGTTTCGCGTAAGCTTCGGTCGTGTCACGATCGTCGGTCACGTGACCACGGCGAAAATTCTGAACTCGGCCTGACTTCTTTGGCCTTTAACAGTACACATATCAATTAAGTCTCCCCACGTAAAGTGATCGTTTGGATCCGAAATTCTAGACTGTTCTAATTTTTCTGGAAGTGGGCGTTTTTTTCTTTATTTTCAATTGTTTCGTTAATAACAAGTTTTAATGATAGTTTTCTTGTACCTGTTGGTGTATCTTGATCTGCTCGATGGCAGTAATAATAATAAGTTTTTTTATTTCAGATTACATATGCGTTATCACTACTGTGCTCCCGATTACAGAGTGGGCATTGAGATTCTGCTATATGATTTAGGGGAATACATTTGGGAGTGTCGGTAAAGAATATAAAACTTCAAAACCTTTGATTTTATACTCCTCAAGTAATTTTTCTATATATTCTACTTCAGATCCGATTGTCCCTGCATCGATTTTATTTTTTTCCAGCGTTTTCATATCTTCGATTGATGTTTTTTCTTTCAGAATATCTAAAATAGGACTATCTACTGTATAACTGGTGCCTCGTCATTAGGTGGTCGAAGCATAAAATCAAAGACAGAACTATCTTTTGGAAATATTGCTCTCTTTGGACGGGTATGCTTACAGTATATGATTTTTTACCGCTTTCATTACATTTTATTTCGATTACCTTTGGAGTATTAAGCATTCGTAAAGAAAATGAGCTTTTGTTGGCGATGTTATCGACAATATTTTTTTCTTGTAAATCTATTAAAGCTTTTTGCGAATGAGCTCAGTAAATACTGCTAACTTTAGCAATATTTTTGAGTCGGAGACAAAAGTTGATATATAGAGAGACATTTTTTTCTCGTCACTACTACTAGCGATAGTTAATGTTTTGTGATCCCAA